GCCTTCTTTATCAAAAATATTCCTCTAGTAAGATTAGAAGATAATACTATACAGAAATTATCCTCACAAACACACCCGAATGAGAGATATTCTAAAAATAATCATGAATGATAATAAGATTGAGATGCCATCAAATTTCCATGATCCTGAGACAAAACAAGCTAAAAAGTTCTAGTAAATTTAGATGTTCTCTATTGTTCTTCGTTTTTCCTAAATCTGTCCTTATATATTTTTTTTTTTTTTGTTCAAGTGTTTATGCCATTTCAATATTTGAAGTTATTCCTTGGTTGCATATGCCAACTTTATGTCACCTTTCAGAGTGTTGGCATTGAAGAAATCATGTCAGCCATCATTTTCTTTGAGTTTCTCCCACCTCCACCACCAAAAAAAGAAAAATATAAAATAAAAGAAGGGAGGAGGGGAATGATAAAAGATATCAAGATTGAAATTGGAATCTGTTGCTGTCAAAATCAAAGAACAGTGGGGGAGAGAAGAAGGGTAGTCTGTTTACCCAACTATTTGGAAACTGAAACCCCACATAGTATGAGGAATCTTAAGCAATATCAATACTCACCTTCAAAATTGCTAGGAGCTCCCAGATTTTTAACCCTTTCTTTGGGGGAGAGGAGAACCCCTTTAAGACAACCAAAAGGAACCACCTTTGAACTTGTATCAGATCAGACTCATTAACCCATAATTTTTTTTTGTTTTTTTAAGTTCCCTCTCCCTTTATCTCTTCCTTTCTCGAGGTTCATATTGTAACAGTTCGAACCTGCCGTTAGTAGATATTGTCTTTTTTTAGTTTTTCCTTTCGAGTTTTCCCTCTTAAGTTTTTAAAACGCGTTTGTTTGAAAAAAGTTTCTACACTCATGTCACATTCTCCCGATTGAGATCTTGGCGTGTAATACACATTGCTACATTAAGTGAACTTTCCTATTAAGCCATCATTACCTATTTGAATTGGCTCCTTAGTATTGAATTAGAGTGTTAGGAGTAAGTAATACGCTTCTGTTCTTATTATTAATAAGCCATATGAATGAGGATGGCATAGAAATGTTCTATCCCCAACATTTTAAACAGCTTGAGAAATGAATGCAAATTAAAGCTTAAATACTGCTTGCTGCTTAGAAACTGTACGATCAAAATCTAAATTCTAAACACATATATTAAAGGAGAAAAATAAAATTTAAAACCAGAAATTTAAGGTGACATAAATTCCAAAATAGCTATGGCAATGTGCAGTAAAAATATAAAGGGTTGTGGGGTTTGCTGACTCAAAGCCTTGAATTTCTGAACATAGGGAGCTAAGCCTACTGCTTCCCAACTGCACAACAAAGCTTTGAATTTGGGTGGCATGGCAGACAGATTCCTTTTTATGCAATATAATATATTGATTTCATAATTTTAAAAATATATATATAGAATTTTCTCTCTCTCTCTCTCTCTCTCCCTCTCTCTCTTAGCATCATCTTGCCAATTATTTTTGTAGATTTGCTCTTTTTTTTTGGTTAGTTGCTTGTAGCTTTGAAGCATAAGATGTTGACATTATTAATTAATTAGCTACATAATCGTGGTTGTTTCATAAACTCAATTATAGACGACATATTTTTTTTTTCTTTTTTGCCATTTTCTTTTTAATACATCGTAATAAGCAATTTAATTGTAAACCTCACGTTATCCAACGCCATAATAGTTACTAAAATTTTATTAATGCCATAATAGTTGCTAATTTTTTTATTTTAGGCAAAGAGAATGAAGTAAGACACAAAAGCAAAGATGAGGAATCCTTCCATGTGGTTTACTTATGGACATCTGTATGCAAAGATATAAGAACTTAAAATAAAAAATAAAAAATAAAATTAATTAGAAAAGACTTTCAAAGTACCTTTAGCGTAAAAGAAAAATAAAATTTAGATGGAGAATTACCTTTCAACCATTAGCCATGGTGGATGGTTTGAATTAGTAACGTTTTACTCAGTTAACCCCTAAATTGGAGTCAGAATTTATAGCCCCACTACTCCACTATTAATAACATATATTTTTTAAACTTAATTAGAATCAGCCTTTATAAATATAGAACTAATAGAAATATATAATTATAACTTATTTCAATAAACTATTTAAAAAAGAAAACGAAAGCGTATTGAAGTAGATAACATTAAGACAAATAATATATTAAAGAAACAACGGCGGAAGCGCATTCACATTTAGAATTTATTTAGTTCGGCAAATATATCCCCAAACCATAGCCAAAAACGAATCTTTCATCTCACAAGTGTGTGTAAACTTATCTGAATCTCCACAACCTACGCTGCTCACCAATATTTGCTTCAACCTTTTGACAATTTTATAAAATTTAAATTATTTCAATCACAATAATTTCCATGTTTTCTTCTTCAAATTGAGTTCTATTTGCTCAGAACCATCTATTGTTAATGGTTCTTAATTCTAACTTTCAAACTAATACTGCTCCTCTTGATCTATTGTTAATTCTAACTTTCAAACTAGTACGCTCCTCTTAATCTATTGTTAATTCTAACTTTCTAATTAATACATGTTAGATCAAATCAACTTTTAAAATAATAATTAATATCTTATTTAGAGAGTTTTAGAATCTCGTTAATTTTTATCTTTTTTGAGTTAAAACTGTGAATACTAACCTTGTTTGTTAAAATCGTGTTAATCCAGCAGCAGAATTCACCTGAAAACAAAATCTGTTTTGATCGGTTACCTATTTTCCTTCAACATTTTGCAGTAAATGGGTTGAAAAGTTAGAAGTTTACTTACCCCAAAAGCTCTGAAGTTCCATGAGAGGAGCTAAACGGCAGAAGAGGAAAGTGATTTGGAGGCATTTGAGTGAATAAAGACGAGCGAGGTGTCAGACAAGAATCCCACTGCCACACGGAAGGAAAACGTGAGATTGATTGAGATAAAGCATTTATGAGAGCTACATTCATCCACCTCTCTTTCTACTTTCTATATCCCTTTTCATTGTTTCTCAGCGATTTGACAAACAAATCATTTCCACCAAAAAGGCATCATAACACAAACAACACAAAACCTTTACCAATATTCACATGATTTTTCCTTTTCCTTTTCCTTTTTCCTACTTCCCCAAAAGAAGTCAGTTCACTCATGATCCAAATAAGAATAATATTTGGTTGTACATACATATCATCATTACATTTTTTTTACACTTAGGTTGAGAAACAAACGTGAAAAAGAGAAATCGAAATAGTTTACTCTTCTAAATTTTAAAATTTAATAGTGATGTGTAAGAACGATATAAAGTTGTGTGGCCAAACAATATGCATAAAACAAGTGAAATGGATGGATAGAGATGAAATTGAGGAAGTATTTTTACCTCAAAAGAGCATCCACATTTTGCTCGATATTTCATTATCAATAGCTTGGTCCTGCAATTGTAAGAAAACATGTTAAGAATAAGCCACATCGCTCTAAAATTTCTCAAGTTGTTTTCTTCTGACGTCAGGCAACTTTTTATTCAAGAGAGGTGCAAAATGTGCAGGAGTAGGTATTCATGAAAGAGACCTGTTCATGCAGAAACCAGAAAATAATACAATCCTCAAGCTGAATGGGGTTGGAATTGGATGACCTAATTCAGCTTTTGTCAATTAGTGAGAAAAGATAAATCCATAGCACATGATGCACCATTAATTTCTGTCTAAGAAAAAATAAATCCATTCAGTGGTCCACTTATCCATAGGGGGCCTGCCCAACATGGCAACATGGACAGCTCCTTTGGATTGTACCCTGTTATCTCATATAAAAATGCAGAGATTTTAAATTTATAAAGGAAATATCAATGTGGATAAACCTGTGAACAATAATATGATGCCACGTTATTTCCTCATAATTATCAAATATTGAAAAATAAGGTACTGTAAAAGCTTTATTAATATGTGGTAGTTAGCTATAAACAAACAAAAGAGTTGAGGTTGTGTCAGAGAGAACAAAGATAAACTTAGACTAAAAACAATTAGAAAGAGAAGTTGGAGGCTAACAGCTAACACCCACAAAAAACTTTGCTGCTGACGGAGACTAAGGCTGAAAGAGAAAGAAGGAAGAAAAATAGAGCAGAATCACAGCACTGTTTGGTGGATATTTCACCAGCCAAAAGCAGCTAAACCATTCAGTAGCTAAGTTTCATTCTTCGACAAATTACTTCTAGCATCTAAAATCACAACCTGACAAGGAAAGAAACCGTCATTAAACAGCTACCTCAATTATTGCCGTGTCCCTCCTTAGCATCCTCCTCCAAGAGAAGAAAATAACTCCTCGTTCTATGAGTGTGACATAGAATATGGACCAAGTATTTTGAGATTTGAAATTTGGTAACTGGCCCTCCAACGTGATGGATGATAAGATACTGTAGCTCAGATGGATTTCCTTCAAAAGAACGTCAGCTCTTATGGTTCCTACTATGTAATATGCATGTATGAATTTGATTCTAGTACAAATGATCAAGAACTTGGTTACTCACAAGTTGATAGGAAATTATCGGGTCTAAAAAGAAGCAAAACCTACATATTTATTTAATAGAACCAATAGAAATAAATCACAAGAGAAAATAAGCGAAAACTCTAGTATCTTACAACAACGTATTATTCTTGAAGGACTCTAGGAATGGTATTTTTCTCGTTGTTATATTTCATTGCATATAATTGTGGCAGTTCAAAAAAATATCAATCTAAATTGGAATATGAAATAAACAATTTCATTTTCATGAAGATGAATAAAATAGATTTTCTTAAACATTCTTATAAAAGAATTAAATCGATAACAAGTTCCATGAAAAAATATATATATAGTACATTGCTTTCCTCAGTCCATGAAGGGTGACGCCAGATACTTTTCAAGGTTTTAGCATCAACAAACCAAATGCAACCAACTTTTTCCATGACCATCTAACTTCGGGAATTCTACTCTCTTTGTATAATAACATGTAAGACACGGCTACATATATGGACTTTATTTTTATTGGAAAACTTAAATCCTGCTGGATGTACTATGCAAGGATATCTTGACCAGATAATTGTCATATGGGACAAGTCTTCAAGGCTTTTTCACAACAACTAAAGCGCATGCAACTCAGATAATAAGATTATCACAGAATAAAATGAAAAAAGCAAAATGATTGCATTAAGAATGGGGAAAGGGTGAAAAAGACAGTACCTTTGATTTATAGAACTTTAACCAATAGAGAGTAGAAGAGAGAAAGGCAACACCAAAAGAGAAGCCTAAGCTTAAAAGTTAGTGTTAGAAGATTATGGCAGAAGTGCGATGCTAGGGAGGGGGAACCGAATGAATGTAAAAGAATATATATCTAATAGAAAACATCACTCGTCCATGAAAATGAATAAGATCAAGGACAAAAAAAACTCAACCTTGTAGAGAAAAGCCGAGAAACCCAGTATATCAAATCCTTAACAAAGATATCAATTCCAAAAGGAGAATATCCTATGAATACATAATGCTCCTGCTGAAACAAATTTTCCATACAGAAGAAAGTGTACAAGTGGCAAAAGCTCCAAGACCTCAAAAAGAAATAATGCCACGCAAAACTAACACTAACCTCATGAATTAAAGCACACAGAAGACCCGTCCTTTCTTGAGGACCTTGAGGTGCTAATTTTCATCATTCAAGATAAAGGAATACCTTCTTATGATTTCCAAAGGGTAACTTTAACCTCCAATCTTTCTGCTTACGAGTCAAAGGTCTGCCTTTACTCAAAGGATCTCGATTTTCCTTTACATTTGCTAATTTCCAGACACAGCTCTCAGATTCCAAATCCACATGATCCATCATAAAAACTCCATCATTCTCAGTGCCTCTCGATTCTCCGTCTTCTATATAGCACACTCGCATTGGCATGGCTTTAAATCTAAACAGATCATCTGGGACCTTGAGTAATCTCTCTGCACCTGGAGATGATACCTTCACAGCAGAGGAATGCTTGTTAAGGTGTTGATGTTTTTCTATGGTGTATGCAAACAAAATGTGCACTAAGCAATCATTTTTCTACAGGAGTAGGGATGAATGATAAAACCTAATTAGTTGTTACCTCAAGAGCTAAATCATCCGGAATATTTCCAAGTGCCCCAGTTTCATCTAATCTTTTCTTGTACTCTTGGCTATAACTTTCAAGTTCTTCCAAGCTGGGACACCCATATCTAAAGAAGAGATCAAAATTTAACAAATTGTAAATTTATAAATTTATAAATCCAAGTTAAGGCCATTATGTAATCCAAACTGACTGAATGCCCACCCCAGTTTATTTTCAAGGTTAAAACAGATTTCCAGCAAGCAATACTAGAAAATTTCACCATTATCTAGTAGGGGATAAAAACTAACAGAGATGGAAAAATTCATATCAACGAAAAATAAGGGTACTAAATCAAATTTGAAAGTTCAGAGACAATTGAGTTTGAGGTATTTACTCTTTTTTTGTTCTTTTTCTCTTGATTCTATTAGAAAGGGTTTGAGTTCGCTGATTTCTTCCACATGAAAAGTGGGCTTTAGATGTGATTACAAATCAAATTCCCCGATACCCAGAAGGTAAAAGTACACCTCTTATGCAGGAAAATATGGACGGACAGAAAGTAGAATATTACTCGTTTGAGAGCTTGTCTAATCTGACATAAATATATCCACGTAGAGTAGTCTTAAAAGAATAGAGTTTTATGTCATCGCCTAATTGCAGCAAGACCTCGTGAGCAAGAGCAAGAACGCGTTCACCCCATGGAACGCCTTGCAAAACAACACCACCACCACCCCCTCCATCACCAAGCTATGTTATCAATAATTAGCATCATCTATAATAATAGTGAAACAAAAGCTCAGTTCAACAGAGAGAAATACCTCAGGTTCCAGATCATCATCTTCTTCCCATCCATCCGTAGTTTCTTCCCCTTCATCCCTCCTGTCTACAAAAATTAAGAGATTTCCAAGATTAAGGGCTCAAACTTTAGGCATGGCTTAAGCAAATCCTTAATTATAAATTTCAATAGCCATTATTGTCTACAAGAGTAAAAAAATACCCCGAAAAATGTACGGCAAGAAATGAACACGATATTAACATTTGAATGAGGAAACCTTTGTAAACTGAAGTGAATAGAACCTTCCGCATCAAATCTATAGTACATCGTCGCAGTTTTACGATTAAAAATTAAAAGGAATACACTACAACGATATCAGATATCAACATCGAAAGCAACTAGTCCTTGGATAATATCTAATTATAAAGCTTTGCAAACATTAGAACTACATGTATAGTAAAGGAACAAAAAGCTCAATGAAACATAAAGTAGATAAAGAATTCAACAATTAAAACAACTTATCATAACTCAATCACACCATCCATAGTCAGATATTCCACTAGCAGCAAACAAAATCTGCAGAACAAAAAGTTAAATGGAACAAAAAGCTGCCAAATCACTAACCAGTCAACTAAGCAGAGCAATTAATAAATCGTATTCCAAACGGAAATCTCGAGTGAAATCTCAAAATAAGAGGAAACTAATAAGAAAATGCATCCATACATTGAAGTGGATTTTGCACTTTCATTTCATCTTCAAATTCTTTGGAGCAATTGGTATTGAATAAGCGTACGGTCGGTGAAGGAGAAAAGGCGAATGCGTGCTCGCGACGGAAATGAACATGACAGGAGGAAGAGGAGCAAGAACTTTGAGAAGACCTTGCATCGGCGCAAAAGACTATAGAAGACGGCCTTCCGGCGGAGGAAAATGAAGAGAAAGCGGCGGCCCTTCGTGCTCGATGAAGCAAAGTACGAGCAATCCTGCTACCACTCATCGTTTTGCCTCGTCGGTTGATTGACGGAAGCTTGGGGTTCGAAGCGCTGCTATGAAGGGTTCGGCTTTCGCGGGTTTCAGCGGTTGCGGCACGATTCTCCTAAACCCTTTAACTCCCCGGAATGTCGTCCCCCCCTTTTTTTTTCTTAATTAAAAATCACCATTTTCGTTGCATTTAATTTTAAAATTGGTTCATAAGTTAATTTTTTTTAAAAAAAATAATTTAAAACTAATTTTGTCTCAGAAAATTCAACTATAAAGTATATAGACCAATTTTAAATTGAGCAAGTAAAATTAATAAATTAATAAATTTAGATATTTAAAAATACAAATATTAAAATTGAATGATATCTAAAATACAATGACTAAAATTATATATATATATTAATCATGACTCATCTTGATTATTTTTTTCCCTTAAATCTTAGAGATTTGGACAATAAATTTATATTTTTAAAATACCTAATAAATTACTATACACAATATTAATTTTGTAATAGGCCTACGGTTTTGAACTAAAAAAAATGTCAAACAATTTAGAACTATTTGACACAATTCAAAAGTAATTTTTAAAATTCATTTACTATTAAATAGATTAAAAATTACAATGTGATAAAATTTAGAAACAAGTTTAATCCTTAAATTTAAAAACTAAATTATTAAATAATTTTAATAACCTAAAAATTGCAATAAGGTGAGTCTCTCCCCAATATTGCTCGTAAATGAAGAATAATAAATTATAACTTTAATCCTTAAATTTTTTAAAAAATTATACCCACTGAATCTTAAACTTTAAAAAGCATAAACAAATATATATCCATAAATTTCAAGAAAGCTACAAGCATAAAAACAATATGATAACACAGGACAGGATTAAATTAAGCAAATGCATGGTAAAAAGAGTAAAGTTTTAATACATTTTGAAGGAAGCGAAAGATAGAACTTAACAAGAGAGCAGGTGAACAAGGTTGCCATATTCACTCTTTTATGACTACCTACAATCGAAGGATAGTTCTAAGTGTATCACAAAGATTTTGGATGGTTTGTTGTTCTTGAGTCGCCTGCAACTCCTGAAGCGGCATATCTTCATAACACCTGCAACGAATTCAATTCCCCTCTAAAGTTATGAACAGGGAAGTAGAAATGTGGAGTTGCCAGATGAGGATTGTTTTATTTCTAAGCTGACCAGTGACTTGAAACCTTAAGAGTAAGGCATTTAAGATAAGGTCACATATATGGCAACCGTAGTAGACAACCAGTATAAGAAATGAAAACGATGTCTTTTACTTCAACCATTCGTTGTAGGAGGAGAAATGTTGACACCCAAGAGTATCAAATGTAAATCCATGCACAAGAACTGAAGGGAACAGAAATGGCGAGGGAGAGTATAACAGCCCAAGCCCACCGCTAACAGATATTGTCCTCTTTGGACTTTCCTTTTCGAGCTTCCCATCAAGGTTTTTAAAACGTGTCTGCTAGGGAGAGGTTTTCACACCCTTATAAAGAATGTTTCGTTTTCCTCTCCGACCGATGTGAGATCTCAGCAAATGTTCATGCAAGGTATTTCTGAGTGCGCCATTTATTAGGAGACCACACCAACTTATATAGGTTATGCTTCAAGTTTATGCTTGTAAAGTAGAAAAATAAGATAAGATGACATACATTCTGTGGTAAGCTAAAGCCTGGGCAAGGTTCAATAGGGTCGGACTTGAAGTAAGTCTTTGATAAACACTGGATGGAAGCGGCATCTGCAGTGCAAAAAATTAACAGAACAAATGTTCTAGCAGTTCAGAGGAGACGAATATAAGGAATCAGAGAAGTCATAGGAGAGATGCAAGAAGAGAGAAACCTCATTTTGTCCCCTGCGACCCTTTTTTGATTGTCCATCACCGGTGAAGAGTTCCTGAAGCGTTTCCACTGCTACAGTACCCCTGTTATCTTGTTGCATGCCTCCGAGGACATTGTCAGATAACAAAGCAATGGGGGATATATCAGTAGCTCTCAAGAATGGAATGGGTACAGTGTTACCCGCTGCATAAATGGACCAAAGCTGCAAAGGAAAAAGGCCTATCTAATCAATCTTCAGAAAGAAGAATCCTAAGAAATGAATGAGGAAAAGATTAAACAACCAAAATACGTTCAGGTGATATGTTCAGGTGATAAATCAAGGCTCATAATATGTTTCCCAAGAAGTGTTATTCAAAAAGTACCATGGGTGGTAGTGGTACAATACTTCTAAATCAATTTCTATTAAACAGAATAATGGTCTATTCTCACTTATAATAGGTACAAGAAACCTTTCAAGTAGAAGAAAAGACCTAATCCATAAAAGGAAAAAATAACACAAAAACTACAACATAGAATGAATATGGTTCAATTGGAGTTTTTGTTATCCTACAACCAAATTTGTTTCTTCAAGCAAATCAATAGTATATTTCCTTTGATTGACAAGGACCCTACCCTTTTTAACCTGAAAATTTTCATACCTAAGAAATACTTCAAATAGACAAATTTGTCTATGATTTGGAATTCATTTGCTAGTTTTTTCTTGAAACTATGCGGTCCAACCTCATCATTATCAGTAAGAATAATATCATCAACATATAATAATTTGGAACGCATTTGTTGATGATATCAATTAAACAGGGTTTTACAAGTTTATTTGAACAGGGTTTTACATTCTGAAGTTTCCCTTTAAGCCCTATTCAATATACATTTATTGCCACGATCATGTTAAAAAACCGCACTTGAAACTTAAAGTTACCTTATCCTGCAGAGCAAAAGATTTCCGGCTGACAGTTTCATTTTCCAACGTGCTAATCTCATGAATACCCAAAAATGAGGGGGAAGATGCAGGAATGGCAGGATCTAATTTTCCATCAAGATTATTACTAGCAATACCTCCCGTACAATCCACCACACTATAGAAGACTTACAGAAATTAGATTTCAAATGATACGGAGGTAGTGTGATTTTGATATGTAATTATGAGATAAAAATGATAATGCAACAATTTTGACTCCAGTTACACCAACGAGAAATGATGGACCAGTTGAAAGAAAATACAACACATCAGCAAGACCAGGAGAACTTACCTAGAGTCCACAATTTTGACTCCAGTTACACCAACGGATTGGCTCTCATTGCTTGAAGGACCAGTTGGTGCTACAGCATTGCCAGTATCCAGTCGAGAGGCCACCTTATCATTTTCATCTCCATCATGGACTATCATAGTGCCAAAAGTACCTGTATAATATACATGCATATATTAGATGTTGCTGATAAAATCAAATGTCTATGTTGTTGGGACAAATTCAATGATTTAAAGCAATATTTGAGAACTTTTTTCACAAGTGTTCATAGACCTAACTTGGTCAGATTGATCCACTAATTATCTTGAAATTAAGTAATGAATAACAACAAAGTAAAGATTAATTTTCAGAATCTCATCCTTTCTTCTTTTTTTTTTTTTTTTTTTTTTAATCATCTTTGAAAAGAAAAATATGGAAGTTACAAGAAGTTTAATGTCTTAAAATGTTTCTTACTAAATCTCAATCAGATTGAAATTTGAGTGGACCAACAAGGAATAAACATTGAATGAAAAGGAAGGAAACAACATGAAACAATTATTCACAAGCAAAACTATTTTATCAAAAGAGCAGTAAAACATTAAGAAAATACCAACAGTTCTGTAAATCACATTGCCATCTCGTGAGAGAATTAAAATAATAATTATTATTATTATTAAATTTTAATATTTTTAAAAATAATAATAATAATTAAAAGACCCCACCTATTGTTAGTGTTGGTGCAGTTGGAATGACATCCACATTACCTAATATCCGAAAACACCAGCTAAAGAAGCTTCAGGCGCAATTAATGAACTTAAATTGCAAATTTCAGACGCACTAATTTATCAATGCAAGTTTACAGAAATTATTAACTCGTGAAAAAAAAAAAAAAAAAACCATTTTCATAAAGTTCCGTCAGCACTGCATTAATGAAAAAAAAACACTTTTTTTAATTAGAAGCTATTTCACTGAAGTAAGAAAATGCAGAAGAGAGGAGAGAAAAGCCCCAGACCGGGGATAAGGATGTTACAAGAAACAATAAATGGTCAGCTTATAAGTTTCATTGAGCTTTTGAACTCATAAAGTTATAATATCGAAGTGACACACCAATCAAAACTTCAACCATGGAAAAAAAATAATAGCAGTCTCATTGACTTTATTGAAGCACATGCCATAATTTGCATACCTTCGGCTTCTACACCCGATTGCTCTTGCTTCCTCCATGACATTTCATTTGCTACCTGAAGTCCAACATTCTGAGGTTTTGAAGGAACAGTATCTCCATAGTTTTGATTCAACTTTGCAGCTACTATAGTCTGTTTCAAATAAAATTATTATAGAAAGATGAAATTCTAGACCACCTCTTATGCATGCACATTTAGCAAGCAAGAGGTGAAAGGAGAGTGGAGAGAGGTTAGATACAGTGAAATTTGAGCCCTTACACCATCTCCTGATGCATCTGGAGGAACACTACGAGCTTGCTGAGCCATCAACAAAGTCCTGATTTTCCTTGCCTTTTCAATCTTTGGCAACATTGCTGATGCGCCACATCTGCATTTCTCAATGAATTTGTGCTGTGCATGCAAAATAAAAACCAGTTTTCAAAGTGAAATAGAATACGAGAAAGATTACCTAGATATTTCAACTAAATACACAAAACCCATTGGAGATAATAAAAATAACCCATGATATTGTCTACATTGCATGGGTTATTTTTATTTAAAAAAACCGCAATGCCAAAAACTTGTTTCTTATTGAAAAAAACCGCATAACAAAACATTAAAAAAATCGCCACAGTTCTTATTTGAGAATTATAATAATCATCTTAGCTGTTTAAATAGCAGAAGTTCCACATGGTCGGATGGGCAATTCATCTTCTTTTTGTGACATTTGTTCATTAACATATTAGTTTTTTATCCCAAAAAAAACATAATAGAAATGCATGTGAATTGTGAATGAAATTAGCTCGTGGAACATATCCTAATTTATTTGGGACACAAAATTGACATGCATTACCTTCAACATCTCAGAAGCAGCAGGACGTGAACGGGGATCTTTTGTCAGACACTTTGCAACAAAATCGTGGAACAACAAGGACCTGAAGAAGGATACACCACATGGTATAAAAAAGCCAACGAACTTTGCTTATAATACTAGAGATCAATTCAGAAACAATAATTTACAGCACTTTTAAATTTTGAACAATTTTGCTCATATCAGTGAACAGTGAACATGGTCCAAGTTAAATAATGAACAAAATAGAATGCCATCCATACCAACTTAAACGCCGTAACAAATAAGTGATGTACATCAAGCTGTGAACGCATTTGGATAAAAAATTTAGGCAAGTAATTGTTTTTTTTTTTTTTTTTTTACAGGAAACGTTGTAACATTTCATTGATGAGATGCAATAACAAAAGGAGAGATCCTATCCAGTTGGATTACAAAAAAAAAAAAAAAAAAAAACGCTTCCAATGATTGAAATTAGGCAAGTAATTGTTTTTATGAGAAATAAAACTTTAATGGACCTTACAATCAAAATAAAAAATAAAAGTAAATGATTCTAGTAGATAATAACAATCAAGTTTCAGTTCAAAAGAATTTTAACTGAAGAACAAATGGTGGAAGAAAAATTAAGCAAACCATTTTTCTTTGTCTTCAAGCATTGGAGCTGGCTCAATGGATATCATGAATAAAACCTGTTACGCATGAGAAAATTCCGCATAAAAAATCAATCGGGAATAGCATTAAATATGGTGAAAGGAACAGAATCAAATCCAAAATTTAAGGCCCCCTTGATAAATATTTCATTTCTAGTCTTCTAAGTTTAACAATTGTTATTGTTTCCTCATAGTCTCTTTTATCCATTTTTCACTATTATAAAAAACATTTTGAATATTTAGCCAAATTTCATAAATAAAAACAAGCTCTTGAAAATAACTTTTTAGTTTCTACATTTTGGTTAATTTGAAAATGATTTAAGTTTTAAAAAAATTGTTAATAAAAATTCATGGGTTAGCCTAGTGGTAGATAAGGGCAATTAGCATAATAAAGGTTTTAGATATAGGTTCCATTCATGGCGGTCACCTACCTAGGATTTAATATCCTACATATTTCTTTGACAACCAAATGTTATAGGGTCAAGTCGTTGTTTTGTGAGATCCGCCGAGGTGTGCCCACAAGTGGGCCCAAACACTAACAAAATTATTTTAAAAAATCATAACAACTAACAAATGGGCACTAAGAATCCAACTACAAATAGTATCGATTTCATATGCAATTCATTGCAAACAGAAAACCCAGTTACCCAAAGATGAAGCAGCACTACTACTCAATATGACTAAGATTTAGAAGATGGAAATTCTCACTCAAAGAAAGAAACAATTTCATTTATGGAGTTTCTAATGCTTCAAAATTTCAAACTAACCCTCATTGGATGCACGGCTGATCTTGGAGGAAGTCCCTGAAATCAATTACAAAATTATTGCTGGATGTCAAGAACTATCACCAGGATACTTCAAATCCCAAATAAATTGGAACATCATCAGCAGAAGATCTTTTTTTTTTTTTTTTTTTTTTTTTTAAAGATTAAGAAAACTTAAGAGCTGATTTCATAAGGTGAGATCCTTACCTCAGCCATTTCGATAGCAGAAACACCAAGAGCCCACACATCCACCTGAAAATAAGACAATTATTGCAAAAAGAATTAAGGTGGCTGCAACTGTAAATGTCACAAAAAAGAACCATATATAATACAATGACAGAACATAGCCTAGTCACTCGATCACTAAATATGATACAATTGTAGATGCTCCTCTTTTAACAGATGCCTTCTTTTTAAAAACTATAGAAAATAGAAATCTCTACTGCTTTTTAGTAGGTACAATAAAGTTCTGCACAACGCCACTGATATTTCAGTGCCATATTTTTTTTTTCAATCATTCTGTATCTCAAAAGTAAGTTGTGCTACAAAAGATTACAGTGGTCAATTAACATTATATATCTCCTTTTTTTTTTTTTTTTTTTTTTGATATATGAAACTGAGATACATATACAGTCACGAAAGGTTGTCAATTCAATAAGATATTATATATCATTAAATATTATCGACGCTTTATTGTGCATATATCAGGAATTCCAAGACTAAATAAGTTCACTCGAACTTCACATTATCAGACTTCCTACGGAAGTTTCGGCAATTCTCCACTAAATTCTTTCTTTCTTTAAGCTTGTTCAGCTTCACTAAGATAAATGCAAGATCCAATTTAGATATTCAGACATGTTGTTACACCGTATCCTGATTAATATGCATGCTATGCCTATCAAAAACTTTGTCTAAAAGCACAGAAAAAATGCATGCCCTAAATCAATGACAAAAATGCATCCATAAATATTGCAACTTTGTAATAGAAAACTGGAACTTCCAATACTTCAACAATTATCAAATCAAATCAAATCCAATCCCCAATAAAATATTTCTCTCCAACACTTAATCCACACTTGAGCTGCATGCTTCTTTTTTCTTTTCTTCTTCTTTTTTCGAGTCCAAAATTAAATCGCAAAATATAAATGCATTCACAAGTTTAAAACCTCTTTCCCAAATCATTCATAATTTAAATGTTGTAGAAGGGAGATACCAATAAGATAACAATATTAATCTGCATTTGATTACCTTCCCATCGTATCGACTTTCCTGAATAACTTCTGGAGCCATCCAATGGGGAGTACCAATGAACTGAAAAATGTATAGAAGTTAACAAGAAATGACGACCAAATATCAAGATTTACTATTTTTAAAATCTCCAAAACTAGAATCAAAGCCATGACAGGTGCATGTGCCACGGTGAACCATTTTGGGCTCCTTGCTTCAAGTGAGGTACTCACTGGTGGTGCTTTTTAAAACATTGACGAAACACAAGTGGATAGGAAACGCATCAGGGAAAGGAAAGCCATCTAGTTACAGCCTTGAAGATTAATCAATTAGCAAATTTTGAATATCAATATGTTTTTCTCAACATGATATTTTTTCTCAACATGATATTTTTTACTCATTATAGCAGTTGACATACTGTATTGCGCTTTGACATGGTCCTAGTTAGCTGGGCTGCAACTCCAAAATCACCTGCAAGCATTTTTTTAACATCATTGTAGGACATCTGATCAGTTTGTTATTACAAAAAAAGATGCAAGCAAAGAAAGAAAATGATTTGTTTGTCTACCAAGTCCTAACTACAAAAATAGAGCTTCGGTTTAATCCCCTATACGATAAAAGGAATGTCATTCTATCTCCTCTACATACAAGAAGAGTAGTGTACTCACCCAACTTGACATCTCCTTGTTCGGTTAACAAAATATTGCCGCCCTTGATATCTCTATGTACTTTGAAAATCGAATGAAGATAAGTGAGGCCCTACAATAAAGTTAATCAATTAGGCCATCTAAATACAAGAGAAGAACTTAAAGACGAACGTATGACTGACGAGAAATTTAATTTCATTTTTATTGTATCAGAATGATTTTCTCCAAGAGACCTTCATTTGAGAAAGCCAAGCAAGTTGTTTCCTAATACAAACACAAGCAAAAGGATACTAGTACTCCAATCCATAGTACTAAGAGTCCACATTTTTCGGGATGAAGAAAGCTTGAAAGCAGCCAACTTGTTGAGAATCTTATACCTTCAATGCCTCCCTACAGATATATGCTATCTGATATTCCTCTAGTGCTTCTTCAGTAACATTCATCAAGTCAGCAACACTGCCACCCCCACAGTACTCCATTACTATCTGCCAAGAAATAAAGACTTGTAAATCTGAAAAGATAACAGGATGATACAGAGACGTATATTCACGTGATAAACTAATGTACGCTCAATCTAACTCATGGAAATAGTTTCGTAAGTTTTTAACATCAGCTAATTTGTTCTACCCATAGATACTCCTCTCCCTGGTAGCTCCCAAGATAGCGGACAACGTTCGGATGACTGCACTGCTGCAACATCTCTATTTCACCACGAATTTCTTCATATCCTTCCTCCTACAGAAGAACTCAAAGTAAATTCTCTCTACAAAAATTCACAAATGAGGGTGGAATTGGAAACCATACATACCCCTTCACACAAAGAAATGACCTTGATAGCAACAAGCTCAGAGGTCTTAATATCTCTTGCTTTATAAACAGCCCCATAGGACCCCTTTCCTGCAAAAGAATCAACGTGAGTTTATGATATCCAGCGCCGCCAGAAATAACTACTGACATGATTTTGCATTTGATGCCATTTGAAAGCACAAGAAATCTTCATGTAAGAAAACTTGATAATTAGAAACAACTTCCATTCATCTTATAAGATTGCATCTCATTGACACAACGTATTTCATATTTAACGTATAAGCAAATAGCTTACCGAGTTCGTTGAGCAATTCATACTTGGTATTTGGATCTTCCCTGGTGATGCTTTCAGGAATCGAACTCGTGGATACCTTACTGCGCATCCGACCACCGCCTTCCTCACTCTTCGGCGATCCAGCCCCCTTCCTCTGCTTCCCAAACCCTAACTCTCCCATTCCTTGCATGCTCGCCACCGCTCTGCCCAACGTAGACCCCTCAAGTCCTCCGCCTCCATCTCTGGTATCACTACGACTAGCAACGCTCCTTCGAAGAATGGTGTCACTAACAGATTCTCTGTTCCGCGACCTCGCCGAGGGCTTCACCACGAACGTCGAATACCCATCACCATCATCTTCCTCGCTCACATCGCCTTCCTCGCTACCATCTCTCCCGCCTGATCTCGTCCCGGAGCTCCCCGTCTGAAAGTTCACGGATGGCAACGCCGAATTTCGAGGCTTCGCCGAAACTGATGAAGACAAAGAACGATTAAGAGGGCGACTCCTTCCCGTTTTGACGATCACCGTACCAAAATCTTCAGTATCGTGATCAAATCCAAAATCTTTGTCGTCGTTGTAGTCAATTGGGGCTCCACCCCCGAAATCCTTTGGAAGACGTTTGAGGAGAGGTGGGAGAGACGAATCATCGTCATCCTCGTCCTCGTGGCCCTGATCAACGTCCTTATAGACCATTGTGGCGTATAGGTCTTCACCTTCGCTCGGCGGTCTTCGTCGGCGCTGAAGTATCCGATCGGTAGGTTTGTTGTCGGCGTCTGAATCAGAATTGGAATGGATGACAACTGTGGAGTATAGCTGAGGTTTGTTGGTGACTCTGTGACTGCGGTAGGAGGGTGGGGGATCCATTGGGAAGTGATCGAGAGAGTGGAAGCTAGAAGGCCATAACTGCAACCGAATGTCTGACACTTGCAGCTGGTTCTTCTGGGTCCGTCGTTTACCGATTTACAGAAATTTTGGAGCGAAGCCGAAGGCGCCAGTGCCCGTGAGCTGGTGAGCACATCGTCGACAAGCAAAGAAAAAATTGGAAGAAATGGGCTGCCACCCAAAGCCTTTGTCTCAAACCTTCAATGGGCTGTCACATCCGATCCAACACGTTTTTTATTTTTTTATTTTTTTATTTTTTAATAATAATACGGTTTTTCCTTTTAATTATTGTTTTTTAAAACTCCTTTTAATTTTTTTTTTCCTATTAAGCTTTGAACATTAGTATGACTTGAGAAATTTTTAATTATTCTTATTCATTATAATTATTATTTTATATATAGTTAATTAATTTTCAAAAAAATGAATAAAAAACAAAAATTTCCGATAAGGAAAATGAAGAAAAGAAAATAATGGGTAAACTTTTTCGGGATGGTTCACACAATTGAAGTGATAAAAAAAAAACTTATAAATAAAAAAATCTGATCAACTCTAACCCAACTCAGTTACGATTTGAACTTATCAACTTATTCTGGATCAGGTTAGATATAAGTGCCACCGAGTGTGATGAAATAATATGTGTTATAGTTTCATCGTATCGATTGGGATGAAAAGGTTGCATATTTTTCCTACCTATCTCCCGTGAACTGAGCTATTATTAAATTGACGTATATTTTTAACCAAAATAGGAATATTTTTTAAAAAAGTTACACCGTCTATAATAATTTAAAATTTTAAAATTTATTAACTAAGATGAAATTTTAAGAATATTAAAAAAAAAAAAAAAAAAAAGTGTTACACGGTCTATAATTTACATTTGATAAGTAAGTTCCAAATAAATGAGCGAAAAAGAAAGTTATATGAATTTTCAATTTTTTTTCCTTTCAATTTTATTTAATATATATTTACATTTTTTCGCTCAATAACAAGTGCTTCCGTAGCATAGTGGTAGTGCGTTCGCTTCGTAAGCGAAAGGTCGCGAGTTCGATCCTCGCCGGGAGCTTTTAATTTTATCCGTTCTTTTTCTTCTGCTTTTCCAAAGATTTCTTTGCTTTTCGGTTCATTCATTTTATATTGATTTTCTATTAAATAACAATATATCGATAATTTGTAAACAAAATAAAAAATTTAATCTTTATTTAAAATAATAAGATATGAATAATCTATCTTAATATAATTTCTTATAATTATTTCCATATTTCTTAAATTAAAAATATATATATATTGAGTTCTTTAACTAAATTCTAAAAACAAACAACTTTAACGTTTTTTCCCCTATTAAAATTTGAAAATATTTACAAACAATGGATAATAAACAAAATGTCATTTTTTTTAATCTTATTTGAATTTTAATTACAATAAGAAAAATAAATATTTATAAGCTATATAAGCTTACTTTAAAAAAATTAAATAATTATCAAATAAATTAAAATTCATACTTTTAAAATTTGAAAGACGTCTTAAACACATATTCTGTCCGTTAGAGAGTTAATTTGTAACTTTCTGAATTTTAATCGTGATTAAAAATAATTAAACCCAAAAATAAATAAATATCTTAATAAAACCAAATTATAAACTTGTAAAAACAAAGTTATCATATTTGGAAAGTTAGCACATACTTGTCGTGTTAGATCTAACGATTAAAGTAAACCTACTAAATTTTCTTCGAGCTAATAATTTATTTTTAATATTTTTTTTTCAAATACAATAAATAGGGTAAAAATTATAACTTCATGCTAATATAAAACTTAAATTTACTACGTTAAATTGTAGATTTGGTCTTCGTAAAAAAAAATAGTCTATATTATTTTAAATGTTAAAATTATTCTCCATGGTTTATTAAAAATTCACATAAATAGTATTGAGAATATTTTATCGAACCATAAAAGCTATTTATTGAGTTTATGCTACTAAAATAATAAAAGAATAAATGAAACTTTTAACTTCTCGAACAAGTTCTACCTTGCTTTGGTTTAGAGAATAGAAGAAACCTCTAACTTGTTCGAGTAGAGTCTACCTGGTTCGGGAGACATACCTTAGTTCATTGAGTTTTGCTCTTACAATTGAGTCGTCGTGATTATGGGTTTGAAAAAGAGGATCGAAATATGGTGTAGATAAAACTCTAGTAAAAGAAAATTAAAAGTAATTTATTATTTTAGAAAGAAAATAAAAAAGAATATTTGGGATATATAATTATTTTCCGACCGAACGGCGTGCTTTAGTATCGGCGAATTGGCAAGGAACAGCCGAGCCGTCGCATTCAACAACTTGATGATTGACACGCCATAAAGCATTTCCAAACCTTGCCCATCTCGACACGTGTCCTTTCATTCAGCATCATTTGCGGGCCCCACTCGCTCCAACTGGCCAATTTAAAAATTCAAAAAAAGAAAAAAAAAAAAAAAAAACACCCCCTGCAACTTGCCTCACGTGGGCCCCCGTTTCCCGGGCTCTCCTCGCCGATTCTGCGCTCCATTACTCGTTGACTTGTGGGGTATCTCATTTGACCGTGTTTCGGAGTTAAAAACGTTATCCACGTTGTCTACGGGAGAGACGCAGAGAGATTGCCGAGGAGAAACCAAACACCGTTTCCATTCCCAAATCCATAAGCCCACGTGTCGAATAGCCAAGACTTTTTAATTTGACCAATACGTGGCAAATTCAGATTAGCCGTTACATCATCGACACGTGTCTCGAACGGAAATTTATTTTGATAGGCACGCCAAAAGACACAAAAGCGGAGGTTTTTAAAAAAAGAGGAATTTTCTTTTGTGTCAGATCTCGCCACGTGTCAAATTACCACAACTTAGGATGCCACTTGTCTCCTGCAGGCATTTTTCTAACCTGGAGGGTATTTTCGGTACTTCACATTTATTTTTCCGCTCTCTTTCTTAATTGTTTTTTCCTTCTTCCTTCTTCTTTCTCTGTTCAACTTTGTCGGAGTTCTTTTACAATACTGTTCATTTGATTTTTCCCCAATTTTTTCTTTGAGGAACAATTTCTTGGAGATTGAAAAGCGTTTACTTCTTTCCCCTGTTTTTAATCTTTATTTTACGTGGGAATGTGATCTGAGATTATATTTTGATGTGTTCTATGTGTTCTTGAGTATTTTTGTTGACCCATTTGTTTTTTGTTCATCATCCTGCTCTGTTATTGATGGGTTTTGCTGGAGGAGACCGCGATGGGTCATAAACATTTTGATTTCCTCTGTTTTAAAGTGAAAAATGGGCGAAGCAAACGAAGCAGGAAGTAGAGGATTGGAGAGGGTTCCTCTGCAAATCGAGAAGTACCCAACAGATCTGTTGCAGAGATTTTTGTGTAGCGATTCACGTGATGCTAAACTTGGGGTTTTTAATGAAGAAGATGAAGAAGCAGGGGAGATTGAGCTCAATCTTGGGCTTTCACTTGGGGGTCGATTTGGGGTTGATAACAATTCCAAGCTTATTCGGTCGTCGTCGGTTGTCGGGACGATACCGCTTTTGAGAGACGACGAGGGCTCTATTCCGGCGGCGGTGTCTTACCCGGCGCTGATTCGGACGTCGTCTCTTCCGCCGGAGACGGAGGAGGAGTGGAGGAAGAGAAAGGCGTTGCAGACATTGAGGCGAATGGAGGCGAAGAGGAGGCGGTTTGAGAAACAGAGGAGTAAGGATGGTATTGGGATTGAAGAAGAGAGGCGAGGAATTGATGGTCTTACTGTATTGAATTTGCGAGAGAAAAGGCCTTGTGCCGGTGTGTCGACGGTGGTGCCACCGTTTGGGTTGCCTACATGGGCTGCAGCCGCCCGTCATGTTGGCGGAACTTTGGAGGGTGGTGGTGGCGGTGGCGGTGGCTTACCGGTTGTCCGACAGCCAGCATCTCAGTGTTCCGCAGAATCGCAGGGCGGAAGCTCGTCGGGAATGTCGGAATTGGACAGCAAACACATCCAAGGTAGCTCATTCTTCACCTTCTTATGTCATGAAAACTGTTTGTTTCATTTGGTATTAACACAATCTTATCAGAGCGTATAGCCATAGTTCATGATAGCTTGCAATTAGTAATCTGAAAAGTACTTCTAGATCATAGTCATACACAAAACAAAGCACATTCTGTGATATAAACTGGCAAATATCATGGCTGGTTGAAGCTCTTATTTCATCTTGGATCGCACGGTCTATGAGATTCCGAGCGGAAACGTCGAACGAAACACTGTTAGATTTCTGAACATCCCTTGCATCAGCGATTGGTATCAGCATTACGATTAATCGAAATGCTTGTTATACGCCCGAGTTCATGTATGGCGTATTGGAGCTGTCTGGAAATTGTTTTGTATCCGAAAACAATGTTCAGTTTTTGCTGTTCGTGTTGCAGATATTGTCTTTTTTGGGCTTTCCCTTTCGGGCTCACCCTCAAAGTTTTTAAAACGTGTCTACTAGGGAGAGGTTTTCTACACCCTTAATAAGGGTGTTTCATTCACCTCCCCAACCAACGTGGGATATCACATCTCCCCACATAAGTTATGTAATTTACATAAACCATCCGTTGATTCCTTAAGCTAGAGCTTCATGTTTCGTTCTTCTACTCCATTTCAACAGTCGGTTTGCAACCGAGATGAAAATGAAGGGATAAGAAGTCTCATTACAGTGCTATTTGCATAATTTGTTCATCATCTTGCAGGAACAAGCAATTACGGTGAAGCGAGAAGCTCGTCGCAAGAACGAGGCAATCCAGAGGCTGCAGGTTCCATAGGATCGAATAAGGCGTGTGAGAACCCATCGGGCAGTTCGAAAGCAGAAACAAGAAACCCGAGCGAGAACCGGGGAAGGGAAACGGGAACGACGTCGATGGAAGACATGCCATGTGTGTTCACAATAGGGGATGGGCCTGGTGGGAGAAGGGTGGAAGGGATACTTTACAAGTATGGGAAAGGGGAGGAAGTGAGGATAATGTGTGTATGCCATGGGAAGTTTCTGTCACCAGCGGAGTTTGTGAAGCATGCTGGTGGGAAGAATGTGGCTCATCCGCTAAGACACATAGTTGTCAATCCCAATTCTGGCCCTTCTTTGTGAACCCCATCAAATAGGAAACTTGGAGATATCCTTTGTTATTATTATTATTATTTTAAGTTTCTTACCTTGTAGAGTGAGTTATGTCTGGAAAGAGATTTTAAAAACAGAGATTTTATTGATCTTATTTTCGGATGATCGCCAAACCATAGAATTCTTGTCAACATAATTGTCCATTTTTTTATAGGTTGTCGATAAGAGCATTGCTCATGCAGGGAGACGAGTCACTTTGTAACTTAATCTCGTTGCCTCGTTGTTGCTCTTTTCTTCCCCTTTTTTGCTAGGTCCAAAAGCTTCTCAAAATGGGAGAGTTTTGAGTCTGTTGATAGGTCAATGTAGAATCAACCGGTGAATGCTTTACCAAGCTTGTGTACAATTCTTTGAACGTGTAATGATTTTCATTTAAACCATACATTGTGGGAGAGTTTTGAGTCTCTTGACAGGATGATGTAGAATCAACAAATTCGTGTACAACTCTTTGAACGTCTATTAATTTTCACTTAAACTAAACACTGTTGAGAGAGTTTTGAGTCTCCCTTGGTTGATGTATAATAAACTTTACAACTCTTTGAACGTATATTGATTTTCACTTAAACCATGCACAAAATACCATATTGAATATTTTGCGCTGATAGTTGTATTGAGCAATAAAACCTGCTAATACATTAAACGTACTGTATCAAACATGTAACAAAATCGAATCAAATGGACATACTATGGTTGATTAGTAAGAGAACACATATGAAGTAGAAGAGCCTACGACTTGATGTTATTGCCTACCAAATAGTGATTAAATAACTAAAGCTGCAAAGTATGATATTGTCTGAACCCATGAGGATTCAGTTTGCAGGAGGGTAACATGTTACATTTATGACTCACTCTCTTTCTAAACACCTATGTCAAGGGAAGATTCAACGACAGTGTCTTTTCAACAACAACGACAAATATGATAAGAAGGATAATAATGACAGCAACCATGAAAACAACAACATCGATGAAAATGACAACATCGACAAAAATGACAACAATGACGAAAACGACAACTAAAGCAGCTGCATGAGAAACTAGAACATGAACAACAGTTCCATTCGCTGCAAGAACGTGACCAAAAACCCCATTTGCAACAAGAAGAACATGAACAGCAATCCCATTTGCGACACGAACATGAAGAGCAACCCCATTTGCAACAAGAGCATGAAGAGCAGCCCCATTTGCAACAAGAAGATGAAGAGCAGCCCCATTTGCAACAAGAAGATGAAGAGCAGCCCCATTTGCAACAAGAAGATGAAAAGCAGCCCCATTTGCAACAAGAAGATGAAGAGCAGCCCCATTTGCAACAAGAAGATGAAGAGCAGCCCCATTTGCAACAAGAAGATGAAGAGCAGCCCCATTTGCAACAAGAAGATGAAGAGCAACCACATTTGCAACAAGAAGATGAACAGCAACTCCATTTGCGACAAGAACATGAACAGAAACTCCATTTGCGACAAGAACATGAACAGAAACTCCATTTGCGACAAGAACATGAACAGACATTCCATTTGCAGATAGAAGAACATGAACAGCAACTCGGCCATTTGCAAATAGAAGAATATGAACAGCAATTCCATTTGCAACAAGAAGAACATGAACAGCAGGGAAGACGAGACTTTGCTGTTGATTTTAAAGAGACAGCAGTGCCTTGAGTATTTTGATGTTTCTTTTTAACATCCACAGCCACAGATCCACCTTGCACCTCCTCATCGGCCAAACTGCAGATATTGGATAATGGTTAATTCGATGCTTATACATACTTTCGTTTGACCATAGTAACGAAGTTGCCAGATAACTGTGATCTGACAAAGAAACATCGACCTCATAGAATTGGTAAAGGTAAACAAAATGCTCTATACGAAATTCACGAAGAAAAAGTTAAGGATGTGAAAGAAAAGGTACTTATTGGATGCATTTTACATTGTAAATATAGTGAGATCCCACACCAATTGGGGAGGACAACGAAACACCCTTTATAAGGATGTGGAAAAACCTTGAGAGGAAGTTCGAAAGTGAAAAGTCCAAAAAGGACAATATCTGTAGTGATAGGCTTAAGCCGTTACATCAATAACATGGAGGAGAGGGATTTGAACTTCTAACCTTTTGGTTGAGGGTATAATGATTCAATCAATTAAGCTAACATGATGTTAGCAACAAATATAACAACGAAAACCATAAGAATGATGTTTTAGCAAATAGAGAGAGCAAAGACTTACATGGGGAAAGCGAAGGAATTTGAGCTGCTTTGACTTCCACCGGAGCGGCAAGATTTGCTAGAGGAATTCCATGATACCGCAGGAGTAGGCTCGCTTCTTACACTAAGATCTTCGGCAACCGAAGACCCTTTGTCCTTAATGTCATATTCTGTGGTATCTGCCATTCTAGGCTCCTCTTCAAGTTCAACACTCGTCACTTCAGTTTCTCTCGATGTGGTAACTACAGGTGGTGGTTTAAACACAAACAACTCGCTTGATTTTGTTAACTCGCTAGACTTCTGCGAATCACTCAACATCAACATATGATCTCTTGAGAAACTATTGTTTCCGACATTAATGCTAAACAAGGACTCATTTGAACCAATACTCCATTCCAATTGGCTGATTGATCTACTTGGTTGGAAAACTGCAGATGGGATTCTAAATGGATCATATGGTTCATTTCCTCCCACACGATCCATCGTCTGAAGAGGAGGGGATTGAGTTGGAGACAGAACATATCCACCGGACTTAGGGGTAATATCAAAAACTTGAGATGGAGAAGCGGGACCTTGAGAACCGCAACTCTCCTCTGATTTGGAAGAATATACGCTGGAAACATCGCTCTCATCATCCTTAAATTCAACCGGGTAGAGACCACGATCGGGATTTCCCAAACAAATCGTGCCTGCTTCAGATCGTTTAACATTTGCGTCAATTTGAACGATACTTGGCAATTCCAACAAATTTAAAGACGATGAGAACCCTTCCCTAGGAGTACCTTCAGGACGAACACTACCACTAAAATCTACCCGTCGCTGTTGTTCTGCTGTTGAACGCGAACTTCTTTCACTTCTACCCGTCGCTGCCATACGTTCTTTAAACGCCTACTTTTCTGGCCTTCTTCAATACTTTCTAGTTACTTCAATCCTTCTTCTCCTACTTCCACAAATATAACCTCAACCAGTCTCTAACTGTGAGTTTCTTTGGCTTCCAAGAACTATTTCCACGAATCAGGCAGCTTTTGCTCCTTTTAACAATTTAATAACTATATAGTTCGAGAATATTGATCTTTCAATATGCTGTTCTTCATTACAATTTTAAGAAAACAATAGAATATACGCTGAATCAATCCATTAACCAGCTACCACAAACGTCAGGGGCGGAGAAATATAGCCAATTTCAGCAATATACACTGAAGAGTTAATGATGAAACTCACTTAGATCGGAAAATGCATGAAACGACCCTCGCATTCCGATTATCTCCGAGACCTAACCACTACCACTGAATCTCGCCGGAAGCGGCACTGGCGATATGCGGCTCCAGTATCTCAACGCAGGGAAAAATCCTCGAAGTTCATGGATATTAAGCCTGAGTTCAATTAAAAATCAACTTCAATAACCAGTCGAACAAAGCTCGAGGGAAAAGCAGAAGAACACAGCGAAAGATTGGTACCGTAAATACGTGAAAATCAGATCACAAAAATGCAGAAATCGCATTCCAACTTTTGTCGTCTTTCATTAGAAGGAGAAAAGGAAAAGGAAACAAGGAAGAACACCAAAAACATATTGGAAAAAAAAAGAAGAACCGGAGATTAGGGTTTGGGAGAGGGGGAAGAACGCCAAAGATGGAAGGCGCTGCGATAGTCTCGCGGCATTCAGTTTGCATTAGCAACGAACAACAGCTGTGTTTCGCGCCTAACATTAACAGCTTCCATCGGCTGGGCCCACTAACGATGAGTTGTACGGATCCTTGTTCACTCTAGCTGGAATGCCACGTCATTATGTTTCATTGGTCAAAGTCAACTCTTATTGTTTCTATTTTTCCATTGTTCAAAACTCAAACAGATCGGTCACGTAACCTAATCATTTGAGAAAACGTTTTTGGTCAACGCAGACACATTGAGACTAATGCAAACAAAGGATAATCTCTTTTCACGTAAGTGGGGACCATCAATCAAATACTTTATCGAGTTCATAATTCTTTCGAAGATATAGGTCAATCGAAGATATAGGTCAAACTCTCGTTCCTATATTTATTATAATGCAATAACACGTGAGATAAGAAAATTCAAACATTTAATATTTTTATGTATAATATATGCTTTAATAAGTTAAGCTACGATTAATTATAATATTATTTATAGCAAAATTATTTATTGTATTTCGCAAATTTACTCCTAAAAATTTGGATTTTTCTATTTTTTTTTTTTTTTATGATTATTATTATTCCAATTTTAGACATCAAATGATATTTGATTTACTAAAATATATGTTAAATGAATTTAGATGTCAAGTGATTCCAATTTAAAATGATGAAATATATCGGTACAAGAGTATAACTACGAGATAGATGTGAATATATTCCCGATCAAGAGGTTCCAATCCCCATATTTTGACATGGTGAACTCAAGTGAGATCTCACATCAGTTGAAGATGAGAACTAAACATTTCTTATAAGGGTGTGAAAACTTCTCTAAAGAAGACAGTGTTTTAAAACTTAGAGAAATTCAAATGGCTTTGGATCTTTTTCTTTCACTTGAAGAAGGGGAGCATTGAAATTTGGAACTCCTAAATGGAAATCGAAAAAAAAAAAAATCTCCTTAAGTTGGACCTACCGGTCTTTACTTGCAACTCTAGTCGAGGTTCTTCTATCTCTGTAGTTTACTGCTCCTCAGTGCTATAGAAAAAAGGGGTCGGGTTGCCGGACTTGCTGAACATATACCCTGCAAAGAGCAGGAGCTTCGTTCTTTCAAGACTTGAACAAGACCTCTCAGCCGCCTGTTCGAGAAGGAAATCACAGACGACTCTCTAGATAGAGTGCGTTGGTTGCAACAGCTGTTTTGGATTTACGTATTTTTTTGATAATAGCAAGAGACAAGTCTCAATTTGACAACTCGACAACGGGGCAAGGCCTGACAATACGTAATGGGTCAAAGCGAACAATATCTACTAGCGGTAACTTGAACTGCTACAAATCCATAACCCTTTTGAAACTCGAGCATTTATCTCTTACATCGACCATCTTAATATACCAATAAGATTATGTTCAACAAGCTACCTGAGTTGAAAGTAACATAGAAAATCTAATCACTGCTGAGACATTCATGTTTCAGCTATTCGTTCAATCTGCATAATGATATCGCCTTCTCATATGCATAGTACCAGTTGTGGCTCAGTTGAGATGGATTGATATCAACCAAAAATTTGAACCATGTCCCCGTATCTTTCGACTCTCGGAAAGTTGCAGGTTTTCGTGTCGACGTTCCTCGAATAACTGTCCTTTTACAATGGAATTCACTCTGCAGATATTGTTTTCCTCTGATATACAAGAAGCTTCAATGCTCGATGATCGAAATCCCGACAGAGCATCAATGGAAAATAGCCTATCAAGAACTTTCGTAACGTTTATCACAGCTTTAGTTTCCCGAATTCGAGTGGAACCCGAAGCTCGTGGCTGGAAACTTAGAAATGCAAGGCATTCAGATCAGATAAGTTTTAAATCTCAAGCATTCAGACCAACCCAGTTCTTGAAATCAATAAGTGATTGCATTTTCCTGTGGTTCCTCCTCCTCAATTTTGCCACTTTGAGTTTCTTATGAGTCTCCATGAATGCTTGCTTATATTTCCACTTATCGACGAAGGTCTTCGTATCCTTAGTTTTTTCGACAACTTGCATCACGGCATCGAAGAAACCTCCCTTGACCAAAGCATACAAGAACGCGTCAACCAAGTTGCTATCGAGTTTGAAACCTTTCTCTCCATTTGGAGTAATCTTCCACTTAAGTTCGTTCCACAGCATCAGAACACAAAAATATCTCTCTCCCGACACATAGCCATGAATTAGAGACAAGAACGTCTGTTCGTTCGGTTCAAACTGCAGAAACTTCATTCTTCGAAACGTTCTTCTCGCATCCTCGAGCCTTCCAGCTTTGCAAAAGGCATGTATAATAGAGTTCCAATCATGAGTTCCAACTTCAACGAGAGGATCCTCGACAACTTCGTCTAAGAAGGCAGCCATCAACTCAGGCCTATGGCTCTCCATTAAGCCAGTCATAATAGTTAGATAGCTAGCATTCGTGTCGGATTTTCTCGTTTCCCTCATTTTCCTGAACAAAGCGAAAGCCGACTGAAAATCTTGATTCGACATCGATGCTTCTATAAGAGCATCAAAACTTTCTGCATCCAACTGTATCCCGGAACTGCTAACATCCATGATTAATTGGGTGGCTTCAGCTGTTCGACGCTCCTTCTGGTACGCCTTCAGGATTGGCATATAGACTCCAAGGCCTACAGAAACTCCCTGGGAATTGATTTCTTTCAGAATGGCATGCACATTATCTAACCATCCAATATTAACACAAGCATTAATGATACCGAATCCGATCGATCCATCGACGTCCGTTAAAGACTCTAAATTCTGAGCATCAACAATCAATGAAGATAATTCCTTCAGATTTCCACTCTGAACAAAAGCCTTAACCACTTCCAAATACGTTTTTTCCTCAAATCTTACATGTTCTCCACATTCATCTTTCAAACCATCCAACATAGTCTTCGAAACAGCAGCTAAGTCGCCTGAATTAACGTACCCACTTACCAAATTATTAAAGAACAGACTCTTAGATGTAAAACCAAAACTTCCCATCAAACATTTTAACTCAATTATTTTCTGTTCAAGCCCCTTCAGTGCATACAAATAAGCAAGAGCACCAATAGTCACTTCATCAGGCCGAAGATTCAAAAGCGACATCGTTTCAACGACGTGCTCGGCATCCGTTACAGATTCAAGCTCATGGCAACACCCCTCAAGTGCTGCATTACACGCATTGAGATCTGGTTTCATAGAATCTAACCTCTCATTTAAAACAATCCTACAAATCTCTTCAAACACTCTTAAAAAGGGAATCAAACTACCACTCTGCCTGCAAATACTAACAAGTTCATTGCCCCAGCACTCAAAAGGCACAAAACATCGATTCTTCAACATGCATTTAATCAAAGAAAGAGCAGGGGCAGCAGTGTTGGCACATTTCATAGAAGCTAATAGGGTTTTGACAGATCCAAAATCCAATAATTCGGGTTTCTTTTCAATAACAAACACCGCAGATGCAAAGGCTCTTTTCAGATTATGAACGTCCCCGATTGAGGACAAGTGGGCAATAAGTGAATTAGTGAGAGACTTACATGGGAAAACGGAGCTTTTCGTGAGCAGTTTGAAGGATTTCCATGCCTCGTCAGTGTCGCTGGTGAGAAGGGACTTGTGGAGCGTCGTTTCTACGGCGGCGACACGGTCTGTAGTCAAACTTTGAGGTGTTTGATTCTGACGGAGGTCGGTGGATTCTTGAGATGGCGAAAATGGTGCTCGCTTTGTGGCGAAGAGGGAGGGTTGGAGAAAGGAGTAGAGTGATGAGACTTCTGGTGTAGAAGAAAACAACCTGCGAGGAATCGAACACACAGCTCTTTTCCACATTCTTCAATCGATCGCTGCTATGATTTTGCCACAGCCGATTGAATCGTGTCTGCGAAATGTTTTTGAACCTGAAAGTATGATCATCTCTAAGAAAGCCCTTGCTTTTCAAATCATAGTTTTTTTTTTTTTTTTTTTTTTTTTTTTTTTTTTTTTTTTTTTTTTTTTTTTTTTTTTTTTTGTTAAATTAATAAACATATATTTAAATTTTTTAAAACTCTTAATGAAAAATTTGATAGTTGAAATGGTATTCTTAAAATAAAATTAAAAAAATAGTATTATGAAACTTTTCAAAATTTAAATTTATTTTTTTTAAAAGGTTTTTACAAGTTAAAAGATATTTGATACTACTTGTTAAAATCGTACTCTTGAATTAGCGAGATGGTGATTATGTCTCACTTGTTCTAACTCAACGAATAAGTCAGTTATGAGATATTCGAATTTTGCAGACAACGTTGTCGGCATATGCTGAAAACAAATATTTTAAAAAACGCGAATAAGGAAATACGTTGAAAATAATTTAAATGAAAACAATGTTATAAGCTAAATGCGATTAGACAACAACCCACTTTAATACCATGTAATTCACGTAGGCAGTACAAAATTAAGGATATAAATATTTTTTCTAAGTTTTTTTTAAAACGAAGAATATTATTGAAGCCTTCGAAATAATTTTTGAACACAAAATCAAAGGCATCACACCAATTTAATAATATCATAGAAACGTTAAAATCGTATCATAAATACAAATGTTTTCCACTTCTATGATACTCAGAAAACCAATTCCTTTTCTAATAAACTGTGTATACATTATTTACATTTAGAACTGTGATTACCTCTTACAACTGATTCAAACCACACCTTTGCTGTCACGATGCTCGCCCTCGAGTCGCCCTAGAGTTCATTTCGTTTTGGTTTAATATGGTATCCAAAGCAATAGCTGTTTTTTCAGTTTATCGGTCCCTAATTATAAGGGCGTTTGCCATGGACTGTACTTTTTCACTGTTCTATAGATTTTGCAACTCTACTTTCCTTTCGATGTCCCGCCGAAGCCATTAGTACCACAACAGCCACTGCAAACATAACCAACATGCTCACGAGCAAAGAATATGTTTTCTTCGATGATCTACGATATTCTCCAAATAGAAGGATTGCCCAAAACGTGCTCACGAGTGGGAGTGCCTGCAACAGCCATTTGAGATCGAAACGACAAGGACAATGACAAGATATTGAACACTAAAAAAACTCTATGGTCATATTTGTTAGAAACTAGAACTCTCCACGATGGTATGATTTGTTCAAGATGGTATGATTTGTCCACTTTGAACGGAAGCTCTCATGGGTTTTCTTTTAGTTTTCTCGAAAGGTACGTACCAATGAAGATGTATTACTTATTTATAAACTTAGGATCATCCTCTTAATTAGCCAATCTGGGACTTTCTCCTAACAATCATTCCCTCGAACAAAGTACATCATAGAGCCTCCCCTGAGGCCTATATAACCCTCGAACAACCTTCCTCTAGTCTAGGCTCGACTCCTTTCTCTAGAGCCCTCGAACAAAGTACATTGTTTGTTCGACACTTAAGTCACTTTTTATTACACCTTCGAGGCTAGCAATTTCTTTGTTCAACACTTGAGGATTCTATTACATGGCTAAGTTAAGGGTATGACTCTGATACCATGTAAGGAACCACAACTCTCCACAATGGTATGATATTGTCGACTTTGAGCATAAGCTCTCATGGGTTTGCTTTTGGTCTTCCAAAAGGGCTCATACCAATGAAGATATATTCCTCCCTTTAATTAGCTAATGTGGAACTTCCTCCCAACAATCCTCAACAATATTAGCCTAGTATCTCTTCAGATAAATAAATAGATCGAATATATTATTAAGATATGGTGGGGGAAAAGCTGACCTGCACAGCATCTGCTGCTGCATAACCAGCAGCTTGACCGCCCATGAACTGCAGACCATTGCCAAACCCACACAAGAAACCAGCCAAGAAGGCCCATCCTCTACCATTCCAGTCATTCAGATACGCCTTGAATGTTGTTTTGGGTAAGTTAAGTATAGGTTGGTAAAGGAAGATAATGTTAAGAGTGACGCCCAACACAAAACACGAGACCGAGAAGTAGAAAAATGCGGTGTAGACAGCCAAGTGGGGGACGCCTTCCTTCAGAGTGTGCCATTGATCGTTTGTGGCCAAATTGAATGCCGGTGAGAAGAGAGAGAAGCAAGCACCAGCAAAGAAAGTTAAGGACAGTCCAATTAATGTGCTCTTCCCAAACACCTGCAAAAATGCCACTCTAGCCACTGAATGTAAACAGAATAGAAGAGGAAGAGAAGCAATGGTCTAACAAGCCTGTATTATTTGCAATGGTATCACCCACCTTAATGGATCTTCTATTCTCAAGTTCAACCAAATAGTTCGCAGTCCCAGCTTTTGCCTTTTGTGAAAGATAATCGGAACTTTCCAAGTCTGTTAATTCAACCATACATGTCAGAATTCAGAACAAAAAACAGTGGTAGATCATAGCTACAGAAGATTTACCCTTGCCTGAAAATGAAGGGACATCAGTTGTCCTGCAAAATTTAGTCGATCAACATTATGAACAAAAGAACAAAACAAGAACAGAATCCACAATTCATAGCCAAAATACAGAAACACATTCAAATTTGGATCTGATAGCCAGCCAGGCAAACAGTGTAATATGAATAAGATCATAAGATCAAAACAATGAAAGATCTTCCAAGTTCATAAACACCAGTAGAGAGTGCAAAAAAAACCATACTTCAACCCTTTTACTGCATCCGCTGGCAAACTTTGCAGTTTTTCTTTGTTATCAGCTGCGTTGGATGAGTGAACAGCAGAGCCAAGACATACCGCAATCAAAAAGCAAGCAACACCGGGGAAAAGTACCTCAGCTCTATTAATTTTGTCATCAAGAAAGTAGTTCACGGTTGAACCTTTTAAAAAAATATTCAAGCCCCAGAAGGGGTGTCCCATCAGATTTCAGATATATGTATTTAAGAGTTTGGGTTCACCTGAAAGATATGCAAAGACAAATAGATTAAGAAATCAAGTGGAGTAAAGATACAGACCTATAACAACTGTTATACTTGCAGTGATCACTTCTGTAACTGATAAACCAACAAAAGCAAAAGCATACTGAGTAGAAAGATTCCCCAGACTCAGTACTATACCACCCGCCATTGCATACATGACAGAAGGCCAATTATCCTGCACACAACATCAATCAACAATAACCAAGAAAGCATTCCTAAAAAGTGTTATAAAAGTGAGACAAGGTCGATTTGAAATCACTTTCAAATGCTTAAAAATCCATTTTCAACACTTGAAAAGTCATTACGAGCAGGCTCGAAAAACATTCTCTACAAATACTTTTGGAAGAAACACTAATCAACTCTTTTCTACCACTACTTTTTAAGTATTTTCAAAATCATTTTTTGTGAGATCCCACCTCGATTGGAGAGGGGAACGAAACATTTTTTATAAAAGTGTGGAAACCTCTCCCTAGTGGAAGTGTTCTAAAACTTTGAGTGGAAGCCCGAAAGAGAAAGCCCAAAGATGACAATATCTGCTACCGGTGGGCTTGGGCTACTACAAATGGTACAAGAGCCAGACACCAAACGGTGTGCCAGCGAAGATGGTGAGCCCTCAAGGGGGTGAATTGTGAGATCTCATATCGGTTGGAGAGAGGAACAAAGCATTTGGGATGTGAAAACCTCTCCCTAGTAACCATGTTTTAAAACCGTGAGGTTGACAGTGATACGTAACGGGAAACCTCTCCCTAGTAGACGCGTTTTAAAACCGTAAGGCTAACGGAGCTAAAGCGGACAATATCGGCTAGTATTACTTTTAACTCGCTGATAGTATCACCACTCCAAGAGTCGTATCAAACTTACCCCTCTGATCACCACAGGATCTAGAGGCCAGTTCTTAATTACTAACAGATGATAAAATTAGTGCCAAAAGATGCCTAGTGATATGGCTGTTGATTTGCCAAAGATCTTAGATATGGAACTGAACAAATGAAGATGAATGAAATAACAGAAGTAAATAAATGAAAGCAACCTGATAAAGTTGTTGCCTAAAGTTCGGATGATCATATGAGCTCTCTCCAATCTCACCAAGAGTTAAAGCAATGATCAAAGCAGCTAAAAAATTCGTAATGGAGTAATCGAGGTAAGTATGCTGAGGAAGACGCCCCCGTCGTTCCAGGAGAGTCAAGAGCGCTGGCCATGTTCCCAAAAAGAAAAGCGCAAACAGCATACATGCTATAGCACCTTCTTTGCTCTCCACCATATACATTTTCAACCTCCAAGAATACGAAAAATCCACCCTAGAAATAAAAACAAACAGCACAGACATCTCACCGAGTTAAATCGGAGTCTCAAAACCAAATAAACTCATATAAGCAAGATCGAATCTCAATAATATGAGATCGATCATCGAAGCAATTCCATGTTTAAGGTCAAATTTCAAATAACAGAGAAACGGATAACGAATGAACCAATCGATCGAAGAAAACTGAATCAAATCACTAATACATTTCTAAAGTTGGGGGAAATGGATTAAAATAAGCCACAGAGTCGTTACGGATGCATTGCTTCACTTTAAATGAAAGCTCATAGACGTGGCTGGAAAGTAGCATCTGAAAGGATGATTCTACTGAATACGATTACTTTACCTGATGTGATGAACGATGATGACGAAACTCTGCAACTCTCGTCCAATCAAACTTTCTAAATTCCACACGAAATCGAAAGATTCCTTCCCGCTTTCAATTGAAGCTTTTTCTTTTCAACTGTGTTGAATTTATGCTAGTTTTTTCCGCTGAGTCCCACTGAGATTCCAGCCCAAACTTATCGATGGTAAATTCTATAATTAGTTGAGGACAACGAATGTTTTAATTTGATTGATTCTTAGAAAATTTCAATCAAAATTTCAATTTTTTTTTTTTTTTTCTTGGACGCACCGCTAACAGTGCAACTGTCCAACATATTGGTAAGTTTCATTTCCCGATGGAAAAGGTGAAGTTTATATTTTAATATGATAACCATTAATTAAATAAGGACATTTTTTTTTTCATTTAATATAATCCATGTTATATTTTTTTTTTAAAGAGGCTAAATTAATAAAAATATTATTAGTTTTAATAATATAATTGAATTTCTAAAAAAAATATCCAAAATACTTTTGAATTTTCAACCGTTTTATTAATATTCTTAATTTTTTAAAAAAAATTTCAAAAGTTCATTTAAACTTTTTTAAAAATACGTTTAATTTTTTTTTAATTAAACACGTTTTAAAAATACTCGTAAATTTTCAAAAATAATATAAAAAAGTTTGTATTAAAAATAAGATTTTTTTAAATTTTTTTTATAAAGATAAAATGTATTAATGTTAGTTTTAAAATTTCATGAGTATTTTTTTTTAAACATACTCCTAATCGTAAGAGTATTTTTGAATTTTCTAAAAAAATTGAACGGTATTAACAAAACTTTGAAAATTTAATGATATCGAAACACTGTTAAAAATTATAACTATATTTTTTAAATAAAATATTAACGGTTGGTATTTTTTAGATTTTTTTTTTAGTTTAAAGTATTATTAAAACTAATAAAAAATAGATTTTTTTTTAAATTAATTTATCCTATTTTTTTCGTGAGAAAAAATCAATTTGTACCCTTTAACAGCTAATATAAGTGATTTTTTTTAAATGTTTTTAGTATTTCTCTATTTTTCTATACTTTTATAAAGAAATAAACGAGCAATAATTTGTTGGATGGATGCTTTATTTGGATTTTATAATATAATAAAAAAAATTAATAAATCATTAATTAATGGAGTGTCAAATTTGCCCACAAACAATTAATATGCCTTTATGATTATAGACTTGTTTTTTTCTTTAATTTTAGTGATATTTTGGGTTTTAATTATTTGTCTTGTAATTTTGGTTAAATATAATTAAGATATGATAAATTTTAACAGAGAAAATTATTGAACATACTTCAATAATAATTAATATATACCATATATATATATATATATATATATATATATATATATATATATATATATATATATATATATATATATATATATATATATATTATGTTTAATATTGTTTTAGATAAATATTATTAAAAGGAAAAAACATGTTTGAAATTTGTGTTTGGGCTTTCCAACTTAGAGATCTTGAAATTGAAGTTATTGATGCTATGACAACTTTTCTTTTGTCAATTTTATTATCTTCAATTATATTAAATTCTTTTATTATTATTATTATTATTATTTGTTAATTTGCATATTTTTGTATACTTTAAAATAAAATTACTCAATTACTATAAAATAAAATTAAAAATACACAATTTTTAGAGGATTGTATATATCACTCTTAAAATGAAAAATACTAAACTTTTTTAAAAAATAAGAATTATTAAAAACGACTTTTCAGTATATATTTTTATTCAATTGATGCTTTACAATCTCTCATCAATAATCTTTGTACTTTTGACAGATAAGAGTGAAGAATGCAACGAGAGAGGTTTTTTTTTTATAATAATTTTTATGAAACTAGCTGTTGCCAAGCATGAAAAAATAGAAAATAACGCCCTTTTTATCCTTTATAATATATATATAAATATATTTCAACGGTTAAAATATCATCAGCCCATTGGAGTCAAACCCAATAATTGTATGACCTCATTTATATTAATTATTTAAATATTTTAGAATAAAGATAACGATACATTTTAAGATTTGTTAGGCCTAGATTGGATACGCTCTAGTATAAATACCCTTTGCAATATCTAAGTCATCATCCCAAGCAATACAGGGTTGTCTAGTATCTTGTATTGTCTTAATAGAGAGTGCGAGTGTTTCCCACATAGAGTTGTGTTCAACATGAACTTTAACATATTGATGTTGATACTTGATGTAGATACTAGGGGTGTTCAAAAAACTCGATGACTCGAAAAATTGATAAACTCAACTCATATCGTCTGGGTTGGATTAGATTTAAATAAATGAAAACTTAATAGATTGAATTGGTTCACGAGCTTCCCTAAAACTAAATTGGGTTAAACGGAGCCGACCAAATTGTATATATATATATATATATAAAAGTAAACTCATGTCAAGGAACAATTTAAAACATGGAAAAAAAGGCAACAGCAATTGTGATTCCTTTCTAATCAGCACAAAGGGGTGAGGTTTGACAAGATTTTCTAATGCCTCTCTCATGTCCATTCCCTGATGAAGCCATTAAAACCACAACAGCCACTGTAAACATAAACAACATGCCGACAAGCAAAACGTATGTTTTTCTTGAAGATCTACGGTATTCTCCGAACAGAACAATTCCCCAAAATGTGCTTATAAGTGGAAAGGCCTGAAACAATCATTTCAAAGTCAAACAACAAGCTAAAATGACAACGATAGCAGTAGAGATCGCTCATTTAACTTATGGGACCATGGCTCTGTAGAGACCCACTTTAAATGGGGTGGAGAATCTCTGTTTAAACGAGAAACAGGGAAGGAGCAGGAACATCTCTAATAGCTCAAACATGTTTGACAAGAAATTGAGAGTGGTAAGTATACTGACCTCCACAGAATCTGCTGCAGCATATCCAGCAGCTTGACCGCTCATGAACTGTAAACCATTGCCAAATCCACACAAAAAACCAGCCAAAAAGGTCCATCCCCTACCATTCCAATCATTCAGATATGCCTTGAATGATGTCTTGGGTAAGTTCAGCATAGGGCGGTAAAGGAAGACGACGTTAAGAACAAAGGCTAAGACGAAAAAAGAGGTCGAGAAGTAGAAAAATGAGGTAAAGACCGACAAGCGCGGGATGCCTTCCTTCAGAGTGTGCCATTGATCGTTTGTGGCCAAATTGAATGCAGGTGAGAAGAGAGAAAGGGAAACACCAGCAAAGAAAGTTATGAACAGTCCTATTAGTGTGCTTCTTCCAGACACCTGCAAGCATATGCCATTGCTGGTCACTCAATACAAAACATTAAGGGATGTGTTCATTAATGTAGTGGCATTACAGACCTTGATGGATCTTCTGCTTTCTAGTTGAATAAGAAAGTCTGCAGTCCCAGCTTTTGCACCTCGGCTCGAACAATTGGCACTCTCCGCGTCTGTTGATTCAATATACATGTCATAATTTAAAACCGAATCGACTAAAAGACAGCAGTAAAACATAGATCCTGGGGATTTACCATGGCTCAAAATAGGAGAGGTTTCAACTGCCCTGTCAAAAATGTATTTCGAAGTAAATATTATCATCTAATACGCAACAAAAATTCGAGTGGAAAAGTAAAACTTCAGTAGAATTCAAAAGCAACCAGCATATGATTCACAGCCAAACTTTAGATTTGAGAGGCTAACTAGATCGAAACAACGAAACATCTCATAAGGTTACTCATTGGTACACGTAAAAAAACATACTAACTCTTTTTCTGAATCAGCAGACAAGTGTTCCAGCTTTGCTTCGTTATCGGCCGAGTTGGACAAGTGAGCAGCACAGCCAAGAAATACCGCGATCAAAAAGCACGCAACACCGGGGAAAAGAATCTCGGCTCTATTAATTTTGCCATCAAGAAAGTAGTTCAAGGTCGAGCCTTCAAAAGAAGAACAAAAACAACAAAAAAAAGCAATGCCCCAGATGGGGGAATCCCATCAGACACAAGAAATATGTTAACAAAAATATAATCAGAATAAGAAAGAATGGAACGAGTGTAGAGACCTATAACTACTATTATGCTGCAAACGAGCACTTCTGTAACTGATAGACCAACAAAGGGCCAAGCATATTGAGAGGAAAGATTGCCGATACTCAACGCTACACCCCCGGCCAACGCAAACATGACTGAAGGCCAATTATCTTGCACCTGATAGACTAGAAGATGTTACACGCATTGCAACATGATTTCACAAGTGTATATGAATCAATTATAGCCAATAACGCATTATGAATCACCATATAGTCTAAATGCCAATTGTTAATTGCATCTATAAATTGGGACAGTAGAATTGGAAGCAAAATCTCGATCCTTCAGAGCTATATAGAAGAAAGCATGGAAATCAAGCAATATTAAGGACAGATGTGTTGTAACGTCCCATGCCCAAGATTTGAAATTCGGATTCAACACCTCATGGTCTCGACATCCCCTGCATCCCCTCGGACATAACTACGTTACCAACTTGTCTAGAAATGCTAATAAGAGAGAAAGCTATCCCCACAGACCAAATGAATCCTATCATAGAATTGCTCAAAGCTTAGCACATTTAACTTTGGAGTTCTTATGATTGAGCTACCGAAAAGAAATGTGCACTTTATTGGTATAAGTAGTAACTATCAATTCTTTAAAGCATTTCTTAATCATCATATCCTTGTGATCTTGATTCATTCATGTATCATTCCTTTACTCAAACGCCACAATATTATTTTCACAAAAGATCCAATTACCGCCACCATAATCATAGTGATTTTCCAAATTACATGGCAATCTATGGAACACTGAATGAAACTTCAAGATTAAATATAAGAAAGCAACCTGAGAAAGCTGTTGGATGAAATTAGGAGTCTCTGGTGAGCTGTTTCCAAACTGACCAAGTGTCAAAGCAAAGATCACAGCAGCTAAATAATTTGTGATCGAGTAATCAAGGAAAGTATGCTGAGGGAGACGCCCTCGCCGTTCTTGAAGAGTCAAAAGTGCAGGAAAAGTCCCCAGAAAAAAGAGGGACAATACCATACATGCTATTGCCCCTTCTTTACTCTCCACTAAATACATCTTTCAATCAACGAGGAAATACCAAAGAAATCCTGCAGCGAATAGCGAAATAAATCAGTGTCGACAGCGAACAAGCGATGCCTTAAGATCGACGAAATTCATAGTTACTCGACAATAACTCTGGATTTCAAAACTGTAGAACTCAAATTTTCCAAACGATCCAAAACGTTTCAAAGTTAAAGATCACAAACAGAAGAAATCCGTACTGAATTTTCTAAGAACATCGCAAACCTTTAAGCCGCTTGAATTTTCTTTACCTTGCTCCTTGTATTGGCTTCTTCAATGGTGAATTCACGACACAGCCAACTGAAAATCAAACTCCAGCAGATTGTAGGAACGCTTCAATCAAGAACAAAACTACGCTAAATCCAGAAGGTATGGGGGAAGCGGAGTAGATAAAATTCAGAGTGGTTGGTTCTACCGGGGAAATATTAAAGAAATCAAAATGAAACTTGTCGTGCAAAATGCATTTATTTAAATATGATGATCAGGCACTGCTAGTCGCTTCCGCTTAATTTCTGGCACATTAAAGTCAAAAGATTCTGAACACTAACATCAAATTTTTATTCCAACTTTTTATCTTTTTGTCAGTTGCTCCATTTTAAATTAAATTACCATGTTTTGTGCTTGTTTCCATTAAGGAATTTTGTTTTTATTTTTAGATTGGACTTAAAAATTTAAATATTTAAATTAAAAACGACTAAAAATAATGAGAAATGAACTAGTTATTAAATTAAATGAGACTTAAATTATTATCTAAATTATTGTCGAATCTAATCCTATTCGATCATATCCATGTTTGAATTAGTTATAAAATATATGATATTCATAATCATCTAATATTTAAATAATATATCTTATATAATTTGAATAGCAATATTTTTTATTTTATTTTCAAAATTTAGTTAAGTCAAGATTTAACCTTTTATCCTAATTCTATTTCTCATTCTTAAATCTGTATTGCATATATATATATATATATATATATATATATATATATATATTTTTTAGATTGTGTCATTGTGCTCATATTTCAAAGAAATAAATTAATTTTTTATGTTGAAACTACCAACCACCGAGCTTGAATCTGAAAAATTCAAAGAGGTTGAGAAATACTTTTCGTGAAGATGTCAATTACCTGGTTGAGAGGAGGCAGAAACACTTTCTTGGCCATCAAATATAATATATATAATAAACTATAATTAGGTAAATATTAGATATTTGCTTATAATAAAATATCAAATATAATATTCCATGGAAAATTTGTCGGGATTGAATTTTCAGCCGGTTTTTCGTTTATTATTCTATTTTAAATTTGAATCTTCAATATAATCCTTATTAAAAAATGATAAAATAATCCTAATAAATCAATATTTTAGTTAATTTATTATTTTTAATATATATATATAAAGTAAAAATTGGACCGTAATAAGGAATATAATCTGATCCTCGACTACATTTATGTAACCGACAAAAATATTCTTCACTCCCTCCTAGATCGGGGGCGGGTCCTATTGCTAATATTAAACTGAAAAAACCACATTACATTAATTAATAAAGGAGGATGATTACAACTAATTTTAACGAGAGGGGGGAAAGGGTAAATCAATAACTTTCAACCGCATATACAACCAAACACCAAAATCCAATGGTCAAAAAGCAATCCATATTCCCCTACACACGTGGCAAAATCTCAACCCTTCAACGAGATTTTCATCATCCCTAGAACAACAGTACGGAAAGCCACAGAGTTAAGCCCACACTCAAAAGCAAGTTCATCTTCTCATTGAAACCCACGCCACCGCTCCCGTCGTTGAACCCGGCGCCGCTCCCACTCGGACTGATTCCGTTACCGAATACCGACGGCGTCATTCCTGGATTCGTCGTCCCCGGTGTAGTTCCGCCGGAGGTCGTCGGCGAGGTTCCCGCATTGCTTAAATGAAACATAAACAAGTTCAGACAAATTTCTTAACAAAATCACGATTCAAGCTTCTTCAACAACAAACGACATGTCGACAATGGCTCAGATCAGTTCATATGATATTTACACAAGATCTAATACTCTTAGAACGGCGGCATTGAAATCCAAACTCACCACCGACAAATCGAAGTTTCAAGGAATCAATGGCTTAAACATTAGGCATTATTAAAGATGATAAAATGAGTGAAGCGTAGTATTACCTGGGGTTCGAAGGGTAGACGCAGCCGGAGGGCACAGCTGTAAATTAAAAAATAAAAATAAAAATAACAACACAAAATTCAGTCGGAGAATGGTGTAAAGAGGCGTAACAACCAGGAAGTCCGGCTTACAGGCGGTGAGGGAAACGCTGGGAGTGGCGGCGCCGGAGAAGTCGCAACTTCCCTGGACTTGACCTTTTCTCTGGAAATAGCTGTTGACGGCGTAGCTGCAGTGATCTTTGACAGTGTTGGGCTGAAAACAGGCGCCATTAGAGAGGATCGGAGAACAGTCAGCTCCGGCGCCACAGGCATAATCCAGTGCTTTTTGAAGAACTTGTTGGCTCACTCCATCTCTACACAAGCAATAGTTGGCGTCTGAAACGAAAAGAAACCGAAAATTAATGAGAAATCTGAAGAAATTTGTGGAAGAAACTTAAACCTAAATCGGAACTTACAAGATTGACCAGTTAGGGCAAGGAAGAACACTAAGAACACGAAAACCGCCATGATTGAACGCAGAAGAAGCTCGAAGAACTTGAAGAAGAACCCTAGAGAGGTAGGAGAAGGGAAAGTGGTGGCAAAAGGGTCAAGAATTAAAGAGCATTAGAAGGTAAGGGCTATTACTATATACGAGCACGAGCAGGCTAAGTTTTAATTATTATTATTTTATTTATTTATTGATTTATTATTATTATTATGAGGTATATATAGAGTGTTGGTGGTGGTGTTTGACCGTTTGGGTAAAATTCCCTCAAACGGTCTTAAACCCACGTGGGTTATCATTACCTAACCCCGATTTATTTAACCCAACCAGATGGTTAAAGTTGGGTTGGTTTGGTTTGGTGCCCTAAGCTGACTCATCAGCCGGTGTCACCCACATATCTTTGTATTTTTCTATGTTAAGATGCAAACTCCATTTTTACTATCTAAATTAATTAATCTATTTATTGTTATTTTTACAAAATTAATAGTTTTTAAGTTAAAATACTATTTAAAAGAATGTTTTATTTTTCTATTTTATATAGAAACCCATAACTTAGAATTATGGGTTCAAACTAAAAAAAAAAAAATCCTACACGAGTAGAATATTTAAAATCTCTGACTTTTGTGAGATCCTACTGGTTGGAGAGGGAAACATTAGAAATCTCTCCAGACCCATTTTAAAACCTTGCAAAAAAGTCAGGAAAAAAACATTCCACTACAACAACTATTAATTACTCCTTATAAAATAAACTTTACACATTCAACTACAACAAACATTTATTACTCCTTCAACAAACAAAACATACTAAAATAATTTGGCTCGGTCTATAGCATCATTCAATATAGAACACAGTCAGGTCTCAGGGAAGTGGCGCATGAGTTATACGAAAGAAAAATCTCAAAATTAATAGGTCTAAAAGTGGTGTATGCCTTGAAAAAAAAAAAGTTCGGATTCTGTTAGAGTAAAAGAACTTTGAAAAAAAAAATGGGTTCTGTTCAAGTAAAGGAACTTTGAAGAATGAATTCAAATTGAATGATAGGATGAGCTAGAATATTAAAACGGTAGAATTTATTTTTAAAGTCAAAGTGTGGTTGTACCCCGAAGTACATCATCGAGGACAATGACTAGTTTAAGTGGAAAAGAATGTCACAACCTAAGTAGATTGTGACCCTCACATTATGATAAGAGAAGCGGCAACCTATAAGTGGCGCATAAGAAATTTCAAATCACAAATTTGAAGTGTTATTTATTTATTTTCTAAAATACTCTCTTTTTAACCATAGTTTTGTAATAGAAACAAAAGCCGTCCGGTCGGCTTCAGAGTGATCGCTATGGTCCCATGATTCTTGGCTAGATGCCTTTTTGGGCCCCTGAATATAAAGTGTTCTCAAATTTATGTATTTAAAAAAAGGGGCATAAAGTAAAAATTCCACAATCATTTACCTATGCTATACTCATATTTACATATTTGAATTGAATATTTAAGCAGAGTGTTTTAGAGTGATTTTAAAACCATTCAAATATAGACCCATTCCCTAAATACTTTTCTGGTTATTGCTCAATATCTCAACTATTCACATAACATAACGTGAGAAGCATATGAATAATTATTCGATTTCGAGAAAGAAATCGAAGAATTTTTCAGGAATCCTACGAGATCCATTCGTTTTTTTTGTAAGAACTGAATATGGGTTCGAATCCTATTGAGAGGATTACTAGAGATCAGACATTATTGAAGAAAGAACAAGATTTTTCTTTTGTCCCTTCCGAACGATCTAAAAAGAAAGAAATGTTAGGCTCCTTGCGTCTTTGGGGCATACTTGATTTTTTCCTAATAGAGGGTTGGGTTTGGTGCAACAATTTGTGATTTATTTTGTGGAAGTACAGAAGGCTCTTCAGCTTCAGGTGAGTAATCAAGCAACAGCATCAAATTCCGAAACCCAGGCAAACGCCTCAACCTCGTCTACGAGCAGGCTTTATTCATGGTCAATCGTGCCGAACTTCTATGATGCTGGAATTTTAGCAGCCCTCTAAAATCATGGAGAAATTACAAACTTGGTGCATTGTACTAGAAAATGGAGAATGAATGCTAGAAGAGTTTGTTTGATATGTGTGATGTTTATTAACTAAACAGATTAGCTAAGAAATGGGAGTTTTGATAGGATCAATGTAATTAAAAAGAGCATAAAAGCTAACCCGTTTTTGCTCCTCCAAGTTTGCTTTAATCAAGGAGTAGATGGCGACACCGGCAATTGCTATAGCAGTACCAATTCCAGTTTGAGTTGAGATTTTATTGCCTGCAAAAGTTTGAAACACCCATATGTGGTTAGATAGCCTTTCTAAGTAACGTAGTTGTTAGATGTATGGACCCCCAAAAGCTTGAACAGGGTAACAATTTAGATACGTAACAGCCCAAGTCCAAGCCCATCGCTAATAGATATTATCCGCTTTGGCTTGTTATGTATCATCGCCGTCAGCTCACAATTTTAAAACGTGTCTATTAGGGATAGGTTTCCACACCCTTATTAGAAATGTTTCGTTCTCACAATCCACCCCTTTGGGAGTTTAGTGTCCTGGCGGCATACCGCTCAGTGTCCGACTCTGATACTATTTGTCCAAGCCTACCACTAGCAGATAGTATCCCCTTAGGCTCGTTACGTATCAGCGTCAACCTCACAGTTTTAAAACACGTATATTAGGGAAGGCTTTCCACACCCTTATAAGGAATGTTTCGTTCTCCCCTCCAACCAATTTGAAATCTCACAATGATTGAACTTGTGAGAATCATAACTTGCTGATTGACCTATTAGAACGACAATAAAGAGAGACAAACATGGCTTTAGAACAGAAAAGACCATGTTGTGTTTTTCAGCTCCCATCAAAACAGCTCAAAAGATCCCCCACAATGTAAAGAAGATTTTAGTAGTCCTTCCGTCGAATGTAACAAGAATCATGACATTTATGCATAACTAACGTGAAGTATTAACAGAAAACTATTTATGGCATGTATTAACAGAAAACCTACCAAAAACAACAATGGAGAACCCAATCACAAAAACTCGCTTCAATACGTTTCCTACAGCATGTGTTAATGGTGCAACTCGTTCAAGAGTATTAGTGGCAAGCTGCAAAAAAAGTAAGCTCAGATGTAACTGAAAAGATTGCAAAAGTAACGGGAAATGATTTGTGAAAGAATGTAGGATTATGTAAAATAAGTTAAGAAATGTTATGTGCTCATTCAAGCCTCCATTAAAATCAAATCCCTTTTCATATGACAGCATTCATTAGAGTAAAACCTTCTAAAAATATAGAATAAATAATGCAAGGGTTCTTGTAGTTGCAAGCCGAATAAAGTAATTCATGATAAGCCCCATCGGAAGAATGGAAAGAACTATTAGGAATCACGGCTCTCCACAATGGTATGATATTGTCCACTTTGAGCATAAGCTCTCATAGGTTTGCTTTGTGCTTCTCTAAAAGGTCTCCTACTAATGGAGATGTATTCCTTACTTGTAAACTCAGGATCATCCTTTAAATTAGCCAACGTAGGACTCTCTTCCAACAATCCTCAACAAGAACTGCCGAGTTGCCTTTGTCCAAACTCCAAACACAACCGAAAGAAATCATGATGACAGATACCTGATTGTATAGATGATAAAACATTCCAATCCAGAAAAGATCAGACAGGAACTTTTGGAGACCCACTTTGGCAATGGCATCCTTAAAACCATGCTGCAGTAGCTGCGGTCCTTCGATCTGAAAGCGAACCAGTGGTACCATGTTACCTATGAAAGAGACCAACGAAACAGTTCATCGACCAGTAAACTTACCATTACTGCAGGAGGAATGCAAAACAAAAGAGCAATTACTGAGGTGTATGCATACACGTTCGTACTGTCCATTCCTGTCTGTTAAAAAGAAAGTCATCTCAAACAAATGAAAGAAGAAAATGGTAAAACTGCGGGCTAAAAGTTCAGTTCTTACCATTGCCTTCTTCGAATAGATACTTCTATAAGTGAATGCAATGTTTGAAATCATTGCACTAACAAAGCCAGTCCAGTTGAAGGAAAGCTCCGTTAGTGATGCCATTGACACACCTAATGCACATAGTATTGCATGTTTAGAAAACATCACACTAAGCGAAGTTAAGTACAAATTAAAGGAGCAAGTTGTTATTGAATTACCTAAGACAACAGGTGCTAGAGAGAGCCACAAGCTGAAGGGAATTTGATGTCCCAAAATAAATTGAGAAGTAGCAGCGTTAAAGAATGGCTCCAAGGCTGAGGAAGAAAGTGGAGAAGGAAAATTAGGACCTGGTTTGTTTACAGTAAAAAAATTCCCGCTCAAAGCAAATAAATCCAATCCATACATAGAAAAAATTTATCCTATTGCATCTACATTCCAGTGGGAAAATAAAAGGGGCAACATAATGCATTTCAAGAAATAAGCAATTGAGGCACAAAGCTCTGCCTCACAATCTCATTTTCTATGATACAAATAATCAGCACAAAAATTCGACAAAGAAATATAGGATACTTGTAACAATCCAAGCCCACCGTTAGCCGATATTGTCTGTTTTGGCCCGTTACGTATCACTGTCAGCCTCACAGTTTTAAAATGTATCTGTTAGAGAGAGGTTTTCACACCCTTATAAGGAATGATTTGATCTCCTCTCCAACCGATGTGGGAACTCACATACTTACAATCTTCCACATCTCATCCGTTTCTCTGAAGCAAAACGACCATGACTGTTCATCGAAAGACAAAGAATGAATAGCTGTAGACAAATGAATGGTAAGTGAAGGATTCTGTACCTTTGATAGTGTGAGTGAAGGACACAGCAACAGCTGCAAATGAAACATTTGACATCACATGTCCAAGTGCATGACATAGCGAAACTGGTGTCAATAACAGCAAGAGCTCCTTATCCATCGGCTAGTAACAAGGAGAACTTTATCAGAACAACCCACAAAGTCGACAACAGAAATGGAGAATGTAGAAACTTACAGCACGTTTTGGCAGACCTACAGCCCAAGAAATGAGACAATATCCAACTCCAACAAGAAGATGTATGACAGAGACAAAGCTGCAGATTAGAAACGAAAAACCAAATAAAACGAGTACAAATCTCCTAGGTGCTCAAGAAGAAGAAACTATGAAGTAAGCAATCAAAACATGGTC